TAGCTTACAATTCATTTATGAAACTGTCACATAATGTATTTTCCCTTTTGAGTTCATCAAATAGTGGATTACCACGAATTCTCTTTATTTTGTAAAGCATACCAACCTTAACAACAATTGCAACTACAATGATAAGGATGATGACTGTGATGATTTGTATCCTACCTTCCTCTCAGGAAGAGCAATACAGTTAAAAGTTAGTATTAAAACAGAATTCAGGTAGTCACAACACTGATGAAAGAAGAATGTGATTCATTGACTTATGTCAGTCAATCAGTAATATGCTGACACTGGAGACTGAAAAATACCAAGTATGTATGCACATTTAAACAATTAGTGGCTGGGATATCAATGCATCATCTTGTATCACTTAAGTAAAAGAGTTTGAGAACATCTATAAAAATGTTTTGCTATCCTACAATGGAAGGTAAAGAAACGCCATCTTCCTGAAATCAGAGAGTAGAGTTTAATTGTATACATGACTTCTGCTTCTGTCTTTACTGTACATGTTTTCAGAGACAACATTCCTTAATTTGTTTAAATCTAGCTAATGGGTGTGACAATCTCTAACAGTAATTTTGCTGATGCATTCTAAAACTACATTTCTGTACAGACTTATCTGGGAGTGTGTTCCACTGAAACTGTGAAAATGATTTCTGAGTAAACATGCACAGAACTGGATATGTAATTAAAATTTTAGCCGGAAGATACACTTCCATTTTTACTGCTGTATCTCAATGCCAGAAATTATTCTATTTTCAATATCCACCAGAAGTTAACCATAAATTCATAGTCCACAGAAACAGAACAAGTGAAAGACTAAATGGATAGCTAACGTAGGACACACAATTAAAATTCACATATGCATACGATTTGAAATAAAATTGGTACAAAATAATGTATCAGTAGTATTTATTCCCAACTCTTCACTCTTTTTGCTTTCTTCCCCGTTTTTTATTAAATATAATTAAACATTTTCTTATTAATTAAAATTATCCCCCCCCCCCAAGAAAGAGGGAAGAAGTTAACCATATATTTATTTAAATAAATTTTATAGGTCCTAGAGATTATTCAGAGAGGTGTTTATTCATGTTTTTCCCCCAAAATAATAATAATAATTTGCAGTATTTATTTTTCCGGGAATCCTGTTCTCTTAGCCCCAGTTAAAGTGTATGGCTGGCTGTATTGATTGCCATCACAGTACATGGCGTTTTACAAATAAAAGAACATCAGAACAAGTTTCCTGCCTACAGGCTGTTAGGAATTGTGGGAGTTGAAGTCCAAAACACATGTAGGGCTGAAGTTTCCCCATGCCTGGTCTAGCAGATACTTCCTTTACTAAGGTTTGCTTTTTTAGAGCAAGCAAACTAAAATTATCCTATCTCTCCAGTACCTGCTGCAAGATATCACTGGGATTTATGCATATGCCTAAAAAAGACTGCTTTCGTAAGGCTTGAATATAGTTATGCTTCTGACAGGAGCGATATGTTCCTCTATTACGATAAAAACATGCATCCACTTGTCAATTGTTTCAGTTCCACATGTCTAAGGACAAACTAAATTTAAATATGTCTTTACATTTAACCAAAGCAAACAGAATGGGTTGTGGGGAAAGAGCAACTAATAACGAGTCAGCACCCAGCAGGTAACCTTTTCATCCTGTGCTGAATTTCTGACAGTGGTGCCAGAAATCCCTCACTGGTCACAAGAATTCTAGTATTCTGTGGTTATCCTTATGCACTAGCCAGACAGAGGGGCAGACTATGAACCTTGTGAAAAGAAGGCTAAGAACTGTTTCAGCAAAAACTTTAGGGGAGCTCTATCCTGTGACAACCATCTGGTTTCAAGGAGGACCACCAGATGCAACGGGAGTACCTCAACTCAATCCTAAACTGCAAACCTTGCTCAGATGATTTCTTCAAAATTCTATGCAGCAAAGAACCATTTCTCCTCCTCTGCCAATAAGGTACCATCTGGCAGAGTTTTTCTTGTTAGTGAAAGGAATCTCCTCAAAGATTAAGCCATGCTATACCTGCTGTGATGGCTTTCACATATATTAATCCTCCCTGCATGACATTTTAACTCACAAGAACAGAACATTCATGAGTGAAAACTGAAAGGATTAATACCTAGTGGTATTTTTTTACTTGGAACTTTATGAAATGTGAATCTTCTGTGAACAAATTAAACAAGAGATAATGCAGAATAATAACAGAAATAATACTGAAGGATTTACTAAATTTGGGCACAAGTCTGGTTGCTGGCTTGTGAAAATCAAGTGAATACTGGTGCATGTTCAAGTAATTCATTTCCTCACTTGCCAATACCACTGCCCACGTTAAAACAGTGAATGTGGCTCTTAATGAGACATGCCATATTATCACAGAATGCCCACACCCCACACCACTGAAGAAAATATACTGTTTAGCCGGTATTGCACCATCTGACATCCACCAGGAAGTAGTAGCCAACAATGAAAGGACAAGGCAGTGACATCTTTGGCCCACTCCCTGTTTGGATATCAGCTACCACGCCAATGCCTTAAATCAAGAAATAGATTTCTGAGATCTGCCCAGATACTCACAGAAACACCTCAGCAACCAAGAGTCCAAAAGTGGGAGGCTAAAACCTGGAACCTCAAGCCATGGCTGATACTGAATGAGAGGCTCCCCACTGGGCACACAGAAGACTGGGCAACTTGGAAGGCACTGAACAGACTGCTCTGGTAGCACGTGATGCAGAGCCAACCTTAAGAAATGGGGCTACAAAGTAGAGTCCACGACATGCGAGAAGTGCAAACCACAGACCACCTATTAAAAAGCAGTCTGAGTCCTGCCATATGCACAATGGAGGACCTCCTCACAGCAACACCAGAGGCACTCCAAGTGGCCAACTACTGGTCACATTTAGTATTAGTTTTTAATTTTTGTGTTTTTTTTTTTAAAAAAATACATTACAACTGTACCCTCTGTTAGCTTCTGATACGATAAATAAAGTACTTGCCACCAGAGCTACATTTTTATTTTATTTACATAAGTAAATTTTATAAAAATAAAATGGAACCAAAACCTTTCCAGAAACAATTTAAATGACAAATTTAAAAATTATCAAATTATAACTAGAAATTACTTATTCCAGATAGTCTACAATGGATTCAACCACTGTACCTTTATAGACTATTTCAGGCACCTTACCTATTCAGCAATCTTGCCTAAAACTAGTATTTCATTTAACCATGTTTTAAAGAAGGATGAATTACAGTTGAAATAGATATGTGAACTAAGAAACTATTGGTTGGGAACAAGAAAACATAAGTGGGTCCTGCAACATAGTGTTTCAGTATTGAATACTCATCTTCAAGGTTGTACGTACTGCAGTCTCTTCAAACAAACTGCATTACTTCCTTTTGGCTACGCTATCTGGGATGGGACCTGGGAACATTGTTTCAGTGGTTATATTGCTACATGAATGCCAAATTTCGGATGGCGGTGCTTGGGGACTTAATATCCATCTATCACCAATGGCTTTTAAATTTTACATGAAACCACTGAGTGAGATAATTCAGAGTTTTGGAATGTTATGTTATCAGTATATTAGGGGTATGCAAGTAATTATAACCTAATTCTAATTCTACATGTAACTAGTGGCTGAAAAAACACAAAATATGGTGCTTGCACAAGTAAGTACTCTGATGAGAAACAATAAACTGAAGCTCAGTTGTGGTAGTTTGTTAGGTGGCTCACTAGCCCAGGGAGACAGCAGTCAATTTCTTTTGGGTACTCCAAACACAATTCCCAGCATTTCCTCTAGTAATTATACTGACTAGGGCTGGAGAGTGAACCTGCACTAAAGGCTTATATTTACAGTTTAGCAATACTCAAAATTAATTTTGCTACTAGAGGTTCAAGTGTTCGCTGTAATACAGAGCATTTTCCCACTATTTCTGATTGGTAAAACAGTTGCAGTCTCTCCCGGATAGACTTCCTAGCAAATTAGATTATCGTGTATTTTAGAGAAAGGAACTAGCAAGGAACTTTTGAGTATGCTTTGCCTAAGAAAACCCTCTAAAATTCATGGGGTTGCCATAAGTCAATAGATGACTTGAAGGCAAATATACACACAGAATGTAAAGTAACACATAACTGCAGGACTGTGTTTGAATACTGCCTAATAGCTACAGTTAGTTCTAAGTATAGTTATTAGGTAGCTAACTGTGGTTGATTACTAGGAATATTTCACCAATATTTAAACAATGTGTGTTGTTCATGGCCCAGTTCTGGGCACAATTCAAAATGTTCACTTTTAAAGCTCTAAGAGACACATGTATCTGAAAGATTACTAGTGCACTAAGATGACCTTCAAAGATTTTCTTCCTGCTGCCATTATGAACTATCATGAGTTGGATGACTGCTAGAAAGAAAGACTTCATTTTAATGTGGTTTCCCAACTTTGAAACATCCTCTCCAGAAAGTCTCAACTGGTTCTCCTCTGGGCTTTTCAACACTAAACATTTTTTTTGCTTCCACATGCTTTATAACTTTTCTGTGATACTATTTTGATACAACTGAAGTATTCGTTGTTTTAAACATATTACCTCTTTTGATTTTTTAATTTACTGTTTTAATGTAACTGGATTTAGTAGTTGATCTAGAAATATTTACAGTATTTACAAGAGGTTAGGATTTTGCACATGATAAATTTGCATACACAGATATTTGAATGCAGCAGATGTTACTATGGGGAAAAGCTCCTACATTAGAGGCAGCCATAAAAACATATCTTAAAACAGTATAGTTAAGTATCATGCTCTTGATTCTCTCAGTAAAAATGGAAACCAATCAGCCTTTATCACAATAATAATTCACAATGTTTTGAACCATCAGTTCTGTTTTCAGGTCAGTAACAAGAATGTGCATAGTGCTGGTATTGAAAAGACTACTTTGGAATCCTAAATTAATATATTTCTATCTAAGTTTCAGTTCACTCAAAAATATACATACCTAGGACTTTCACAGCACAATGTGGGCTCTCCAAAATAACACTTTCACCTGTGTCAAACATAGGGTTATCTATGCCAGTTTTGGGAGGAATCTGAGCTAACTTCTTCAGGCGCATAGAAGAATTAAGGTCTAGTTCCTGTTTCTTTCCTTCTTCTTCCCTTCTTCGCCTCAGATCCTCTTGCTGTTGTCGAATTCGCTCAAGTTGAGCACTCCGCCGCAATGGCATCATCCTGGTACCCAGGTCACTAGGGCAGTCAACAGCCATTTCTCTATGCTTTTGAGGTTCCTCAAGTGGTGGAAGATCCACATTTTTTGTTTCATTATCAGAATCTTCTGTTACATGTCCATTCATATGAGAGGTTGTCATTGTTGTGTGCAATAAGCTGTACCACTTCTCAGACATAAATTTTATTATAAAGCTTGTCTTCTTGAGGGTACCATTTAAAATCCATTATAATGTAAGAAAGTCTTCTTATTAACAACTGGATTAAGGTGAAGACACATATCCATCAAGAAAATCTAAAAAGATACATTAAAAATAAAGAGTTAGCATAGAATAAACCAAATTCCTGCACATAACATTAGCACTCTATTCAGTTTTTGTCAATAGATTTAGCAGGAATACGTAGGGACACAGGTATTGTACTGGTGTAGTAAGCATCTATTTGCAATATAGTGGGACAAATTAAAAAGAAAAATTCAAACACTGCTTCATATGTCAATAGAAATAATTACATGGTAGATTGTCAGGAACCAGCAGATCTTAACCATACAAACGTAGAAATGCCCAGGGCTGCATATGCAATGGATTAGCCTGTATGTACGCGCTCACGCACACACACACACACACAATGCACTCATAATTGGATTAGCCTTACAGAAGATGATATAATAACTAGTAATTATTTTTGAGCATTTATTTCACTTTACTTCAAGTTCTTGAAGTATTTGCTTTAAAGAACCCTTGACAGACATCTTGTTTTTCTCTGAGTTTCATAAACTATCATAACTCTAGAACTATTTCTCTTCTGAACTGATAAACCTTTAACTTCTACTTATTGCATGCTCCTGCTCAGTGTCTCTCCTAACATCTCAGATACTCACAAGAGCAAAACTGCTCAGTTTTTAAAGCATTTTTGTTTGCTAAATCAGTTTTGAAAAAAAATCCTTCCCATATACTCCATATTAAGTGATTTCACATTTTGGAAATATTAAAGCATTCAATAGAACATCAATTAACAGGCTTCAATGTGTTGTCGAAGGCTTCAGTTTACAGTGCAGGGTATACAAGTTTTTAAACCTACTTGATTGCTTAGTGTGCTTGGCTATTCAATGATTTCATTAAAACATCAGGACTCTGAAAGATGATTGACTGTTATGACTACTCCATTCTTTTAGATTTAACAAAACAACTTTCTGTTTACAGTAGTTAATTACCTTTAACTCCCATCTACTTAAACTTTATAAAAGGATCTAAAGGAGTGTTTTGTTTAAGACATTTCGGTCTTCACTTTAGGATATTTTGTTTATTGTAAATAGCGGGTATAATTTTATGACATGACATAAAATTCTCATTTAACGAAATGAAACTCACTGTTTAATTTAACAACATTCTCATTTAGCTATCTGTTCTTATTAAACAACATAAAACTCACCATGTTCTACCTAGCATTCCTTTTATAATAGCTAGCCAGATACTGGGTGTGAATGTGTACGCCAGATGCAGGAATTGTGGGGGCTGCATCATTTGAGTTACACGAAGCTGACATGTGGGCTTTTTATGTGATCTTTGGGTTCCCAAACTGTTGAGATTTTTTTTAAATTCTTGGCCAAAAATTACTGTGGGAATCAAGATTTTGCATTTCAATACTGCTCCCCAGCCCACAAAACAAATAGAAAGCCACCCTGTAATTCAGTCATATGAAACTTCTAGTTCTTGGAATGACATTTTAGGTTATTCGTAACAGCAGTGCTGTTAGCCTACATGGGGGCAGAAGGGGCCACAAATGCCCTTCCAACTGTCTGGTTAAACAGTATAACCTGTATTTCTTTGGAAACCTGGCACTCAGGAATACGTAAGAATATGTATCAAATCATTCGTGGTATTCCTATTATGGAGCCCCCGGTGGTGCAGTGGGTTAAGCTGCTGAGCTGTTGAACTTGGTGACTGAAAGGTTGGTGGCTTGAATCCAGGGAGCAGGGTGAGCTCCTACTGTTACACCCAGCTTCTGCCAACCTAGCAGTTCAAAAACATGTAAATATGAGTAGATCAACAGGTACTGCTCTGGAAGAAAATGGAGATTAGTGCAGTCATGTTGGCCACATAACCTTGGAGCCATCTACAGACAATACTGCCTCTTCGGCTTAGAAATGGAGAGGAGCACCAACCTCCAGAGTCGGACACGACTAGACTTAATGTCAAGGGGAAACCTTTACCTTTTTATCCCTGTTAATTTCACAGGGTTTTCTTAGGCAAGAAATCCTCAGATGTGGATCTGCTAGTTATTTCTTGTGAAATATAGCCAACAACACCTGGTATTCATTGGTAGTATCCCATCTAAGTACTGCTCAGAGCAAACTTTGCTTAGTTCCAAGATCAAATTGGGTCCTTGCCTGAAGGGTACTTAGGCCAGCTCCTTAGAGATACACTGACACTAATTTTTCTATCATGGCAGAAATACCTTCAACAAATTTATTTGCTCTTATGAATACCACAACAGTATGCTATATATTCATGCAAAACAAAAAAGCGTTTTCTCTTGTGTTGACTCTACAGTACCCAAAGAAAATAGAAACGAATGCAAGTTCTAGTAGCAATAGTTGAAATTAAACCTACAGTATGATGTGGCCAGGATTTTATCAGTAAGTATCACTTGTCAAATGAATTGGACATGGCTCTCAATAAATGTAAAAATGGCAAAGAAGCTGGCCTGGATGATCTACAGATGGAACAAATCAAGAACTTTGGTCCAAAAGCAAGGTGCTGGCTGCTGGAGCTGATGAACAACTGCACTGCATCCTGTCAGATCCCCAAAATCTGGAGGAAAGCAAGAGTCATCGCCATCTTGAAGACAGGCAAGACCGTAATGACCCAAAAAGCTACAGACCAATCTCCCTGTTGTGCAACCTCTACAAAGTTCTGGAGATACTTATTTTGCATAGAATTACGGAAAAAATAGACCCATGTCTGATCCCACAGCAAGCTGGCTTCAGGAAAGGCAAAAGCTGCACATCGCAAGTGCTGAACCTGGCTCAGCACATAGAAAATGGCTTTGAAAGGCAGCAGATCACAGAAGCTGTCTTCATAGACCTGTCAGCAGCTTATGATACTGTGAACCACCACCACCTCCTGAGAAAAATGTATAATATCACAAAAGACTACCATCTCACCCGCCTCATAGGAAACCTGCTACAAAACAGGAGCTTTTTTGTTGAGTTCCAGGGCCAAAGAAGCAGATGGCGGAAACAGAAGAACAGCCTGCCTCAGGGGAGCGTGCTTGCTCCATCAATGTTCAACATTTACACTAATGACCAGCCATTGCCAGAAGGGACGGAGAGCTTCATCTATGCTGATGATCATGACATTACTGCTCAAGCAGGGAGTTTTGAGATGGTTGAACAGAAGCGCTCCGAAGCTCTAGGTGCTCTTACTGCCTATTACAGGGAAAACCAGCTGATCCCTAATCCATCTAAAACACAGACATGTGCTTTTCACCTTAAGAACAGACAAGCATCCCGAGCTCTGAGGATTACCTGGGAAGGAATCCCACTGGAGCATTGCAGCACACCAAAAACACCTGGGAGTCACTCTGGACTGTGCAGAGAACCTACAAGAAGCACTGCCTGAACATCAAGCAAAAAGTGGGTGCTAGAAACAATATCATACGAAAGCTGACTGGCACAACCTGGGGATCACAACCAGACACAGTGAAGACATCTGCCCTTGCACTATGCTACTCTGCTGCTGAGTATGCATGCCCAGTGTGGAACACATCTCACCATGCTAAAACAGTAGATGTGGCTCTTAATGGGACATGCCGCATTATCACAGGGTGTCTGCACCCTACACCACTGGAGAAATTACACTGTTTAGCCGGTATTGCACCACCTGACATCCGCCGGGAAGTAGCAGCCAATAGTGAAAGGACCAAGGCAGAGACATCTCCAGCTCATCCCCTGTTCGGGTATCAGCCAGCACGTCAACGACTTAAATCAAGAAACAGTTTTCTAAGATCTACAGAGACACTCGCTGGAACACCTCAGCAAGCCAGAGTCCAAAAGTGGCAGGCTCAAACCCAGAACCTCAATCAATGGCTGATACCAAATGAGAGACTCCCCCTGGGCACACAGAAAACTGGGCGACTTGGAAGGCGCTGAACAGACTGCGCTCTGGCACCACGAGATGCAGAGCCAACCTTCAGAAATGGGGCTACAAAGTGGAATCCACGACATGCGAGTGTGGAGAAGAGCAAACCACAGACCACCTGCTGCAATGCAACATGAGCCCTGCCACATGCACAATGGAGGACCTTCTTGCAGCAACACCAGAGGCACTCCAAGTGGCCAGCTACTGGTCAAAGGACATTTAATCAACTACCAAGCTTGCAAACTCTGTTTTGTCTGTTTGTTAAAAATTGTTAAAAATGTATACAATTGTCTGGTTGCTACTGACACGATAAATAAATAAATAAATAAATAAATACTTGTCAACAATAACCAGGCTCACAGCACCTGATGAAAAATGGGTATGGTTATATCAGCAGGCCTGGTCTTGTTGTAATTTAAAAGCATGTTCAGTCAAGCTATTTATAATTACAACTATCATTTTTGTTGTTCTTGTGTACTTTCAAGTTGTTTTCGACTTATGGGGACTATAAGGGGAACATTTGAGGTTTTCTTGGAAAGATTTACACAGACGGGATTTGCATTTACTTTCCTCTGAATAAATTATATCACAACTACAATATCCCAATGCACAGGTGATTTAAACAGATTGCATTTTTTAAAAAGTATTTCAAGATAATCTTATCTGAATAATCCTATTCAAAGTGACAACCACAGAGGAAATTGTCATTCCTATTGAAAATAAATTAATTCTTTTGCATCAATGAAATTCTGCAGGTATTTTAAACTTTAGTTAATGAAAGCATTTCAAGATTTCAGCTCTACCAGGAAGATATAAACTTGCTTATTAGAGAAGTATTCAGATACTTTTCTTAAGTAAAACCCCTCTGTGATAGGGGTCACCTTAGGGTCATCATAGGTTGGAAACTACTTGAAGGTGCATGATAACAACAAGAAGATAATAATAGAACATGTAAATTAAAATTGGATGTCTCAGTTGTATGTAATAGTCAAGATATGATCATAATTAACTATGGCACATCTTTGAAAAAAAGCATATGAGATCCTAAACGGAATGCAAGCAAGCATTACTGAAAGATGCTATATTTATCAAAAAACAGTAAGTCTTTTGCACTTACAGTTTTGGTATCTACTGATTAAACCACCCTTAACTT